TAATGATCTTCCTAAGCTTTTATTTAAAAGTAACTTCGATTTACAGAAAGGTCACATGAGCATTAGTAATGTAGAACAGTTCCGTGTCGGTCAGTCAGTCGCATCTGTCTGTAATGTGCAGTCTCACCCCTGCTTGGTCTGAGTTTCCCTACTCTCTGTGGGCCGCCCCACACAGGATTATTCTCAAGTCTCTGAAGTGATCTCAGTGATTGGTCAGACCAAGTGGACTCATGTCCCTGAGTCAGCTCACAGCTTACCAGGACGTGTTGGTGACATAGCATGGCCGAGGTCAGCATGCCACATGGGGTCCTAGGAGTCCATTCAACTCTCAGAATGGAGATCAGTGGTTTGACCATTGGCCAGGACATGCCGGCCACCCACCAGCTGCTCAGCACAGAGATCAGAGGAGGCCGAGCACCCCAATGAGGTGGGTTTGAGAAGAGGGAAGGGCCAGCCCCTGGTGGGAGTTTCCCGCCCCCACTGTAGGCTAGCTTGGCTGGTTTGCAGCACCATATGAGTTCTGTGACACCTGAATGAGCCCCGGAGAGAGGGAGGTGGGCTCACACTCCGTCCTGGGGTGTCTGAGGCTGGGCAGAGAGTCTGGATTGAGGTTCAGAGACCTCGGAGCTAGTGGCCTCCTTAACCCCAGGCCAGTGACCTCTCCTGTCTGGATAGTGTAGCACACCTGGGCTCAAGTGCTGCCATCTCGGTGGCATCTCGGTGGCCTTGGGCAAAATCAGTGGAACTCTATAGGCCTAAATGTCTTGCTGGGGAAGTGGAGATAACACAGCATGCCAGGGCTGTCATGAGGAGGAGAGAAGGAAGTGCTGGGCACGTGGCTCACGTCGGGGTGTGCTCCAGGATGTCGGCTGCTGTTCTCTGCGGAGCTCCCTGGCTGGGTGCTGGAGAGGTAGGGGTGAGCAAAACTCAGCAGAGGGGAGACAAGAAACAACCCCAACACAAAGAAGGCCACCTGAATAAACCCTGCAAAGGCGGCGTCTGCATCCCCATCTTGCAGCTGGGAAAGTTGAGGCCCTTGGAGTTGTGGCTGCTTGCCCAAGGTTACCCACAGGCAGCCCTCCAGGTGGGCAAGGCTCATTTTGTGTATCTTCTCTAGGCCTTGGCTCGGGGCTCCCAGAAAGCTGGAGCAGGAACTCCACAAATAGCTAGGGAAGTGAGGATACCTTGGGATGGGCCCCTGCCCATCCCGGAGCGCCAGTCCTGTTCCAGCCCCTCACACTTCTCACAAGGCTGTGCGCGAGCACACACACACACATACACACACACACACACACACACACACACTCACAACCCAAACCACCATCAATTTCTCAGTTATTCTCTATCTCTGGGCCTTTGCACGTGCTGCCCCCCGCCCCCCGCCCCCCGGCCCCTACCCACCCCCCCCCCCCCGCCAGCAACTCTCCTCTTGTCTCAGTGTAGGCATTGCCTCCTGAGCAGCTTTCCCAGAACCAAACCAAATCTCCTCCCTCTAGTTTGCCATAGGTCCGCACTGTTTCCATCCTAGCACTCATACCCCTCGTGGGAATTATCTTTTCACTCCTCTTTTCCCCAGATTGCAAACTCTTGAAGGGCAGAACTGTATCTCTTCCACTGTGTCCTCAGGACTCAGTGCAGAGCAGGGGCACAAATGTTTGTTGGGTGAATAAGGGACTGAGGTATCTCACACCCCTTCCTCCCTGGAGATGAATGCTGGGGACTTTGCGGTGAAGGTGGCTGGAATGACAGACAGGAGAAACCTTCTGCAGGGGTGGCCAGTGCAGCTGGAACTCATGCTTCAGCGCTGCCTGGGCATTAGGATTGGATGTCAGTGGCAATCGCACTTATGCTCCAGGTTTGGGAACGAGTCGTCCTGCTGCTGGCCGCCCTGCCCGTCGGGACTGAGCTGATTCAGTGAGAATTAATTACAGGCGCCTAAGCAGCTTGCAAGGCAATTAATGTTCAGGCTTCCGGGAGTGTGATGCAAATCAGCCGCCTGTCATGCCTTCGCTTGTCCTTCCTCCCCTCCTCCCTCGCTCCCCGCACACCCGTGGGCTCTGGCTCTGGGCGTCAGGCGAGGGACGCTGGTCTTGCCCGGGACCACGCTCCTTGTCTGTCAGACAAATAGAGCTTGCGCCGGCAGTGAGCTTCCGGGTGGCAGACGCTGCTGGGCTTTGGAAAGAGCGAGTCATGCGTGGCCCCTGTGCTAGAGACATCCCACCTAAGGTGTCCTCACAGCTGTGGCAGACGCCTTACCTGCAGGGCCATGTCCCCAGCACGCCAGGCTGGGGTGCCCCATAAATTTTGCTTCTCCCGTGCTCTCCCACCTGAGGCCATGTCCAGTTTATGACCGGACACAGCAAGATCTGAACAGCAGTGGCTAACAGTGATGACGTACCGTGATAAACTGCGAATGCCCCCAAACAACCTCAAGGACCCACATACCATGCGGCTTCTCTCCTCAAAGCCAAGAACCTTCATCTTCTCACTTCCAGGAAGCCTTTTGCCACTCGTCTTCGGCAGGTCTGAGTTGCCAGCAAACTTCTCTGGTGCTTCGGGCCTGTCATTAAGCAAAACAAGGGTCACTTGGACACCAGCGCTGCGAGACAGGGACTGAGTGACTGAAAGGCAGGTAGTGTTTACAGGGTGGATACGCTGGACACAGGCATGACTCGCCGTCATACTGCTCGGGCAGCGTCCAGCTGAGAACTTAGGAACCGTCCCTCCTGAGAAGTCTTTATTTAGTATTTTCAGACTTCAGTTGACTGCGGGTAACTAAAATCACAGATGGGGGGGGCTGAACCCTGCCCATGTACTTCGCAGTTCACAGGACGAGCCTTGCAGAATCCTCACGTGACCCTCAGTGGCTCTGTTCTCCTCTTGGACAGATGGGGGAACACTAAGGCTCAGAGAGGTAGCAACTTGCCCACAGCTCCTTGACTTCTCTTCTGGCTCCCCTGCCCAGAGCAGGTACGAGACTGTCAGAAGTCCTCTGTCAACCACTGCCCAAGCTACACAGATTATCACCCTCATCAGGTCACAGGGACCTGTTTTCTTTCCTTTCTGGGACCCTGCAGGACCAGAGACTATGTCCTAAACATGGAAGCTGACAGTGAAAGAGCTGCCCTGATCAGCAGGGAACCTCCCAGCCCAGGTTATGTAGGAAACCAGCACCCCAGAGCCAGCTGAGCAGAAAGGAGAAGTCAGTGCCCCCTCACTCTAGCTGCCTCCTGCTTGCAACTCTCTCTTCTGCCTCTGGGAGCCCTGATGGGAGGAGATGGGTTTCCTGTGGCAGCTCAAGCAGGTGGCCTCACTTAGGGACCACTTCTCTTCAGCCTAGAGAGCCCCTGCTTTGACCAAGACTGTGTATCCCCTCCCAAGTGTCTGCCCTTCCAGATGGAGCTGAAGGTCTCCAGAGACAGACTGGATGCGGGAGCCCCCCTCCCCTGACCCCTCCCCAAAGGTCTCACATGCAGGGTCCTGTGTCAGGAGGTCAGCTCAGGCCAGCCGGAGGTGTTCAAGAGGCAGAGGCTCTGAAGCCACACATCTAACAGCATGGGTGGCATCCAGCAGTTGTTGGTGACAGCACAAGGGAGGCGCTCCCTCTCCATCTCCTTCTGCCTCTCCCATGCTGCCTCTGTGACATCCTCCTGCCTCCTGCACACTCCTCCTCCTCCTTCCCGCTTCCCTCCTTTTGCCTTGCCTCTGGCTGTATTTCTTGTTGTCCTTTCTCCCTCTTTCCTGTCCTCTCTTTGCCCCTTATCCACCTCCCTGCCCTCTCCTGCTTCCTGGAGGAAGGGCTGCCCTCCTTCCAGGCACTTCCTGCTCTCAGTTCTTTATGAAGACCTTGTAGGCAGTGAAATTGTTCAACAGTGGAACAGGCCATCTCCCCCAGTGGTGAGTGCCCCGTCAGTGTGGCCCTCACTGTGGGTGGGGCTCTCACTATGCAGCCCAAGTTGACCTTGAACTCAGGATCTTCCTGTGTCAGCCTCCTGAGCGCTGGGATTATAGGCACACAACGTCATGCTCAGCTACATCTTTATATTTTTATAACTTTAATGCTTATTAAATTTAGTTTAATTTTAGAAGTAAATTAGTCAAGATCAAGAAATTTGGGGCCAGGCATGGTGGTGCATGTCTGTAATCGCAGCTACTTAGGAGCTGGAATTCAGGAGGATCACAGTTCAAGGCTAGCCTAGGCAAAAAGTTGGTGAGACCCCCATCTCAACCAACAAGCTGGGAGTGGTGGGTCACATCTGTAATTCCAGATATATGAGGCAGTACTGGGGTTTGAACTCAGGGCCTCATATTTCTAGGCAGGCACTCTACCACTTGAGCAACTCCACCAACCCTTTCTTGTGAAGGGTTTTTCGAGATAGGGTCTCACAAAGTATTTGCCTAGGCTGACTTCAAACCAGGATTCTCCTGATCTCTGCCTCTGGAGTAGCTAGGATTATAGGCATGAGCCCCTGGCACCTGGCTTCATCCTGTTTTCTTTTAGGTTTTTCCCGGTTTGCTTTTTGCACAATTGTATCAGGGTGTGAAACAACTCCCATGTCCCTCTGTGACTTTGTAACACTCCCATGGATACTTCCAAAGGGTTGCTGTCCCTGCACTACCAGGGCAGCCGCCTTGATTGCTTTACACTTTGTTTTGAAACAACATAGCATATGTGCCTCTTCAAAGGTGACTAATGCAAAAGCAAGGCTTTACGAGTCTTTGGAGCAGGAATCACTCACTTTGCCACCCATCTTTTGAGGGAGGAGGGATCAGATGCAAGCCCTGCTCTGAGTGAACTGGGTACTCTGGGCCAGCTGAGGTGGCCCTGTGACCACCAGGTGTGCCTTGGCCTTCCTGCTCTGCAAGAGAGAACATGGGGTCTGGTGATACTGACCCAAGGCCACACAGCTGTCCTTGCAGATCCCCAAAGCACAAGGGACTGCCGAGGTGGACACCCTCAGGCCTATCAGCCTGTGGGTAACAGGCCTTTGGGTTTTCAGGATTTCCATGGAGCTGTCATGAGGGCCTTGGATGACATGGACCAAGAGGGCAGAGACCTGCTGGCCCGGGAGGAGCTGCAAAGGGGCCTGAGCGAGCTCCCGGCCATCCACGACCTTCACCGGGGCATCCTGGAGGAGCTGGAGCAGAGGCTGTCGGACTGGTGAGCAGCCTGCATTCCCGCCTCCCCCTTCTGAGGGTGGGGAGGTGGAAATGGGTAAAACGCCTCCAGGAAACGGCACCTGGCGTCTCCATTTGATGGATGGGGAGGCAGGGGCACAGGTGGTAAGTCGGTTTGCCCAAAGTAAAGTCCATGCTTTGGTCACAAGCTCAGGTCTCACTATCGCGTCCCCTCCTTGGTGGCAGGGAGAGCCAGCAGAAGGTGGCTGACATCTTCCTGGCCCGGGAACAGGAGTTTGAGCATCACTCCGCACACATCCTGCAGTTCGACAGGAACCTGGGGCTGCTCGCTGAGAGCTGTCTCCGCTGTCCCCAGCTGGCAGCTGCTGTCCGGGAATTCGAGCTGGGTCCCTTGGTCCTCAGAGACTCTACTGTAAGGGCGCAGGGTTGGCAGTGGGCAGGGGAGGGCCCAATGGGAGTGTATGGGGAGACACCTGGCTAGGGGTCGGGGGGGGAGCGCCAGGAAGGAAAACCCAGAACATCCCCAGCTCAGCACACCTCAGTGAGCCCTCCCATGGAAGGGTCTCTAGGCCAGTTCTCCTGTTGTAGTTGAAAGCATGAACTGAGCTGCTTTGGGGTGACTAAGGAAGTTACGTACAGTAAGCACAAGCTGGGAATCCGGTTCCTAGGTGGGGAAAGGGGAGCTTGTCTCTCTTGCTAGCTTTAGAAGCAAGGCAGGGCCTGGGAGACCCTGACTGTGACCTGAGAGGATGGACGTACAGTAGGATTAGCCCAAGCCAGCTGGGCTTCCTGGGGGAGGATAGCCTGGTTCTGGAGCTGAGGGAGAATCTGAGCTCAGCCAGGAAGAGGTGTGAGGACTGATGACCCGGGGTGCCAGGTGCCCACGCCCCGAGGCCAGGGTGACCATGGGGTGCTGTGAGCCGTGGCTGGGGTCTCTGAGGAGCTTCTCCTTCCCGAGAGCAGCAGAGTCAGCCCGGAGGCAGCTGGAGCGTGAAGCATCGGCTGTTGCGTGTGGTTCAACGTCTCTTCCAGTACCAAGTGCTGCTCACAGGTGGGCCACAGGGGTCCTGGGGGGCCAAGGGAGACATAGCTAGGTCTGTGATAGGGATCTCCCTTCCCACCTGACCAGCAGATTGGGAGGATGGCGCAGTCCCTGCCCCCCAGCCCATGCAGAGGCCTTCCCACCTTGGCACCTTCCCCTCACTTCAGTGACACCTCCACCCCAAAACAAAACCCAGCAACAACCCTATGGTGTGTCTCCTCCACAACCCAGCATCTCCCACAGCTTCCCTTGTCATAGAAGCCGTCCTCACAGCCAGATCAGTGGCCTTTTTCAGCCTGGCACCTTTGGTGTCTCTGCAGCCTGACGCTCACCACTTCCTGCTCCTGAAGCCCTTTCCCTCCAGCTTCACCAGGCTCTGCCCCATCACACGATGGCCTCATAGCAGGCGCTCAGTGGGTATGGGTTGAATAACTGAGGAAGAGACTAGCAGTGGTCACAAGACCAAGGTTGGTCTTGGTGTCCATCTCTGGAGAGAGGGGGCGACCATAGTTGTAGGAGACAGGGCTGGCTCACCAGGACTAACTGATGCTACCTCTCTTTCTGCCACCAGACTATTTAAACAACCTTAGCCCGGACTCAGCAGAGTACGATAGCACGCAGGGTAAGTCCAGTGAGAACCAGAGGAGGGGCTGTGACCCTGTTTCATCCTCTCTCCCCTATCCTGGCTCTGCACCAGTGCCCAGGCTGGACACTCCCCCTCCCCACCGCTGGGTGTGTTCTGCGTGTGACGTCAGACATTCCCCAAGTGTCCTGAGATGAACCCCCCCCACCTCAGCCGTGGAGCACCCTGAATAGGCTGACAGTCAGGAAAGGGGTGATTAGAGAGGTGGTGCCAGGCCTAAGAAGCTCACCCCAGCCTCCCTGTTTCCTCCCAGTCCTGGGCAGTTGTCCCTGCCAGGGTGGTCCCTGTTGTAACGTACTCACTTTACAGACAGAGAAACTAAGGCAGCGTTCAAATCACTGTCAATGTCACGTAGTCAGTTATGGCAGAGCTGGGGTTAGAATCTGTGAGCTGATGCTACAGTGGGAAGAATTGGTGTCACCCTGTCCACAGGCCCTGATGCAGCCACCGGGTCAGGAGGCAGGTCTGGAGGAGGGCAGAGGAAGCAAACAAACAGGCAAGGATGGTGACAGCTAGCCTGGTCCTCCACCAATGTCCCTGCTGTCTGTTCTTCCCTCCCCAGGTGTGCTGACCCTCATCTCCAAAGTCACAGACCGTGCCAATGACAGTATGGAGCAAGGGGTGAGTTAGGCCTGTTGGTACCTCCCTGGGGTGCAGGTTCCTGCACCCTCTGCCCCCTCTGCTCCATCTGCCTTGTGATGCCCTACCATCTACCTCCTGGGATCCTGCAAAAATCCTTGGACTCACACTTGCTGTGTGACCTTAGACACTAAAGGGTCCCTCTCTGGCCCTGGTTCACCATTTGAACAATGAGGAAGCTATAGACTTGTACAGGCCTGATGAGGAACGCCCCCTGGGGTCTGAGGCCACCTTACCACCTGTGTATAAACAGCACACCCCTAGGCACACCTTACGTCTTCCCAGTTGGAGTTTTTGGGCATAGGGTCCAGAGGTAACTTTTTTTTTTTTTTTTGGCCACTGGGATTTGAACTCAGGGTCTCATACTTGCCACTCCACCAATAAAGATTTGTATTTTTAATGAGCACCCAGTTGGCAGACTGGCTTACATGGTAGAGTGCCTGCCTAGCAAGTATGAGGCCCTAAGTTCAAACCCCAGCACTGTCACAAAAAAAAAAAACCTAGTTTAATAAGCACCCAGGAAAGGGTTCTGCCCACACAAGGTTGAGAATCACTGCTTCCCGAGAACACATGGGCTCCAAGTACACCTCTGACAGCGTGGGTCTCTGTCAGACACTGAGTTTCTGCCAAAGGTAACCATGTGATGGCTGGATTTGAATCCCATTCTTTTTGTAAATTATTTTTGACTGATGAGAAAACATAGGAGTGGTCCATACGCTAGGGCACATGGATACATTGTGTAACATTTAAATCTGGTCAAACATATCTAGCTCCTCTCACATGTATCATTTCTTTATGGTGCAAACATCAAGATCCCCTCTGCTAGCTTTTTCTGGAACGTGATGTTATTACCGTAGTAACATCAAAGCTCACTCCTCTCTGACTCCGCCTTGTTCTCCCCATCCCTTCCTGCTCTCCTCCGCCTCTGTTAACCACCATTCTTACTGTCAGCTTCTGTGATACCAACTCACATATGAGTGAGATCGTGCGGTATTTGTCTTTCTGTGACTGGCTTATTTTGTTTAACATAAGGATCTCAGGATTCCATTCTTTGTTACGGCTGAACAGTACTCCACTGTGTATGTGTGCCACATTTTCTTTTCCAGTCAGCAGTTGACAGACATTACGTTTCTGTTCCCATTTCTTGGCTGTTGTGAATAGTGCTGTAGTGAACATGGGATGCAGAGGTCTCCTTGACATACTGATTTCATTTCCTTTGGAAATATCTAGAAGTAAGATAGCTGAATCATATGGTCATCCTGTTTTTAATTTTCTGAGGAACTCCCACACTGATCGCCATATGGCTGTACTAATTTACATTCCCACCAACAGGATGCAAGGGCTCCCCATTCTCTACATCCTCCCCCTTCAGTCTTTCTGGTAATAGTCATTCTTACTGGGGTAGCTGGTGTCTCCTTGGGGTTTTGATGTGTCCTTCCCTGAGGATGAGTGATTGTGATCAGGTTTTCATCTGCCTGTTGGCCATTTGCATGACTTCTTTGAGAAACGTCCATTTGGGTGCTTAGCACGTGTTTTAGTTGGGTTATTTGGGATTCTTTTTAAGCTGTGAATTAAGCTACCCACAGGGTAGACTTCCTTGTGCATGGCACACATCGTTCAGAGCTGCCACCTCGCACATGCTCACTGTGTCACAAACCAGTGACACCATCGCTCTCTGCCTTCCACGTTTGAGCTTTCATGGTTTATTAACCCAGCCATGAGGTGTGTCACTGAGCGTAGGTGTGGAGGTTTGGGGTTGGCTCCCCGCTTAGTCAGCAGTAAGAACTTCCTAGGCCAAGCCTCACGGGCCTTTCTGAAGTTGAGGCTTTTGAAGTCAAAGCATCGGTTGTCCTCTTCCCCAAAGTGGGAAATAAAATTTCCCCCCCCAGAAGAGTATGAGGAGACACGGGCAAAGTCTGGGCCGTTTTCACTCTGACTTTTAAGAACTGTATTTGGTAAGATGATGTGAAACTTTCCGTGTGATCTGCTTCTAAGCGTGCAGCTCAGTGGCATTGCCACTGCTATCGTCTCCAGAACTTCTCCATCTTCCCAAACTGAAGCTCTGTCCCCATTAAACACTAACTCCCCTTCCCTTCTCCCTGAACACACTTTACTTTTTAAAACAATTTTAAATATCCAGGAAGAACTGTGAAGTTAGTGTAGAGTGTTCCGGTGCCCTCTGTTATTACTATGGCACATTTGTTTCATTAGAGAGCCAACATGGACGCAGTACTGCTAACCAAAGGCCCTTGTTCGTGCAGAGTTTCTTAGCTTTTGCCTGATGTCTGGTCAGGATTCCACCCAAGACACCATGAAACACCCAGCCATCTTATCTCCTGGGGCTCTGGTTAGCTGTGATAGTCTCTCAGACTTTCCCTGTTTTGGGTGACCTTGGCAGCTGGGAGGGGGACTGGTCAGGTTTAATGCAGGATGCGCCACCTTAAAGTTACCCTGTCCTGCTCCCCCACTTTTCCTATACTCTTTAGAAAAAGGCAACTCTGCACAGCCCTCAAGGAGTGGGGTGAAAGGCTCCCTCTCCCTTGGGCTGTGTCAACCTACCTTGTTTGGAATTCTTTTCCTTCTTCCTCATGGAGGAACATAAACAAATCAATCATTTGTGGCAGTATGGACTTAGGTATTTATTTTATATTTCGTATAATCCCATACTGCTTTATTTTATTTCTCAAAGTTGTTCCAACTTTGGCCATCGGGAGCTCTTGCAGCTGGCCTGTGTGCCCACTTTGTGTACCCGGTCAATATGACTTTGGGTGTTTTGTTGTTTGTTTTGAGCACTTCGTTGGTTTCTAGAGCTATATGCTCCAGGTTCATTCATCTTGTGTACTTCCTGCCCAGTCTTAGACTCAGCCATTTCTCCAAGAGCCCCTGCTTCCTTCAATTGAATAAGGTATTAGAACCCAAGATCTGTGTCCTAGAGCACTCATCTCTAGGGGGTTATCATTTCTTCTAGGCCCTCTTTGCTGACAGAGCCAAGACAAATAGGCATATGTACTACCTGCATATACACACATCTGTACACATCTGCGTACATCACCAACTGAATCTGTTCAGCCAAACATGAGTTCTTACCCGTGTTTCCAACTGAGTCATGACTGCATGGATCATTCTAGCCTCTGCCCCTTCCAAAGCCCTCACTCCAACAGTGAGAACCTGGCTGTCCCCACTCACCTCCCACGGGCTTATTATTCATTCTGCCTGCACTTCTAAAGGATGTTTTTGCTGGGTATAAAAATCTGGGTTGACCTATTTCTTTTCTCTCTGTCCGTACTCCATGCCTTCTCACTTAACACGGCCTCTGTTAGGAGTCTCTTGGGGTGCTCGTCCTGTCTTTCTTCATGTCACGTGTCCCTCCCCACTGGCTGCCCGCACCATCGCCTGTTTTTGCTTGATCCTTGGGAGTTTGACGCTGATGTGTCTGGGCGTGTCTTGAGGGGAGCTGAGTGGTTGTGATTCTCAAGGTTCTTGATTGGATCTATGCTTTGTTGGTCATTCATTAATTTTGGAAAAGTCTTTTTGCGTGCTCTGCCCTCCCCCCCAGTTTTCTTCTCGTCGTGTTTCAGTTTGAGTAATCTCTACCGATCTGTTCTTCGCTTCTTCCCTAGCTCTGCTGTTTGCTGCTAAATCTGTCTGTCCTAAGACTTCTTTGTTTCTGGCATCATGAGGGGAGGGAGGTTGCTTTTAACCTTTCCATTCGAGACTTCTGTATGGTTTGGGTTCCATCTGTTCATACACATCATCTACCTTTTCTGTCTGATCTTTCAACATGTCAGTCAAAGTTACTTTAAAGTCCCTGTTTTATAGCTCCAACACCTGTCACTTCTTGTTCTGGATTTCCTGAGTGCTTTATCTCTTGGAAAGGAGTTGTGACTGTTGTTTCTCTTGCCTATTTGGTTTGTGTTCCTCATGGTGTCTGGTTGAGAACCAGACATCATGAGTGGAGGCTTGGTAGAGACTGAGGTGAGTGGTGTTGACCCCTTGTTTCCTTCATGCTGTCTGTGAGGGAGCGTGGGGAAGGAAGCCAGTCCGGTCAGTGCAGCTGGTGATGAGTTGGGTCTGGGTTCAGTTGTCACTGCCCTTTCCGTAGTGCCCTCCCCAAACCCTCCTGTTCTTTGCAATGTAATATTTGCCTGTAATGCTGGAGTTCCCCTCATACTCGGCTCCACCCTCAGCTTTTCCACCCTGCACTGGAAGACTCTTCCATGTTTTCACCCTCTCCCCATCTCTGAGGGAGGCTGCAGCTTCTCCTTCCTCATTGCTTCCTGGCAGCCATGCTCTGCCTTGAACCTGTTGCCAGCCCTGGACAGCTGTCTGTCCGCCCTTGGGCATCAGCTGGCTTCTGCATGGTGTCAGTGCACAGCACTGGGCCCAGAGGGTCATCATCCCCTTCTTGGAGTGACAGGTCTTATTTCTGCCCATTCCCCAGAGTGGCAGAGGAACTTCTCGCCTTCCCCAGTGGCTGAACCCTTGTGTGGTTAAAGGACCTGGGGAAGCAGGGAGGGTTCTGTAGCAGCGCCTGGGGTAGCTCTGACACACACTGTCACCACCAAAGGGGGCCTGGTCACCCCTAATACTCAGAGACTCATGCAGAAGAGCTTGCAAGTCAGTGCAGACTCCCTCATGTCTGCCACTCCTGTCTGTCTGAGTTGCACTGCCAGCCCACACTTGATCTTCACAAATTCATAAACATTTTAGCTTTCTCTTCCTTTCCTTTCCTCCCACCCGCCCTCCCTTCCTTTCTTCCTTCCTTTCTTCCCTCCTTTTCTTTCTTCCTTTTTGGCAGTACTGGGGGTTGAGCTCAGGGCCTCAACCCTTGCTAGGCAGGTGCTCTCCGCCTGAGCCGCTCTGCCAGCCATTTTTGTGCTGATTATTTTTGAGATTAGGGTCTCGCTTCATGTCCAGGCCAGCTGGACTGAGATCCTCCTATTTGTGTTGCAACTGAGATGACAGGCCACCTGTTATCCATTGATTGATTGAGAACTTTATGCCTAGGCTGACCTCAAACCCTGATCCTTCCAAGCTGCACCTCCTGAGTAGCTAGGATTACAGGCTTGAGCCTGTAATCTCGGAAAACACCCGGAAACTCTTTCTTCTCACCTCCATTCTGAGACCACCTCTTTCTCCTGCACGTCACCAAACACATGACCGGCATCTCTGATCTTCAGAGTCTGTCTTAGTGACTCAGTTCTGGTGGCTGCCTTGTGACTTCGGCTCTGGCAGGCTTAAGAAAAGTGGGTTTTGTGGATTATCTGACCTTTGCTCCCAGTTAGGGCAGAAGCAATGTTGCTGTAGCTTTCTTCCTCACAAGGGGTAAGGAATGACGACTGGGTATGTATGTCTTCTGTGCAGGGTTTCATGCCCGAAGCCATAGGTAACGTGAAGGGCTTTTCAAGGTGACTTCTCTCCACACGGTTTTCACCTCGCTAGGTCCCTTTAGTACCTGTCCTAGTGAAAGGGCCAAGGTACACCTGCCCGTTAGTAGTTGCTGGCTTCTAGGATTGCCGGACACCATGTAGAGTGGTGTGGCACTTTGCGTATTTTGGATAACCCGGCAAAGGATCGACCGGGTTCTTTATTCTTCTAATCATGAGTCTTAAGAAGTGTGCACCAGTTTCCTCACCAAGTGTGCATTTTCTTGGTTATTGGCCTTCAGGGCCCTAACCCTGGCTGTAAGCCAAGAGACACTGCGGCCGGCCTTTCGCCCTGAGTTACTGACATCCAGTTGCACCAGGCCTTATGAGGGACACAGGCTTAGAGCAGAAGTTGTGGCCCAGAGACAAACAAGTGTCAGATGGCCTAGTGACCATCCTGGTGGCACACAGATGGTGTCATGAGGCCAGGGCCCAGAGGAGCCATTCTAACTGTGGACAGCTCGCAGCCACTGCATCTCGCATCTCGCATCTCGCATCTCGCGTTCTCAGGCCCCAGTCCTGCCTAACACAGCTTGGATTTGGGGCAAGGCCTTCCCCGGCTCTGTTTTCCAACACTGAAACGGAAGCCATGCCACCCCTTACAGAAGAGATAAGGCTCCTGGAGGGAGCCTGACCATCTTCCCTGCCCTGCCTCTACCTACAGGAAAACCTGCAGAAGCTGGTGCACATTGAGCACAGCGTTCAGGGCCAAGGGGACCTCCTCCAGCCAGGAAGGGTGAGTACTGCCCGGGCAGGGCACAGGGTGGGCAAGGCTCTGATAAGCACCATTGTGCAGCCAGGCTGGCCCCAGGCAGGCCTGGCTGCAGGTGCTGTTTACATGAGGGTAGTGGGGTACACACCCCTGGGCTTGTCAGCTCTCCGCCTTGCTCTGCCTTGCCTGGTGCACTCCCAGGGCTGTTGAACCAGTGCCTATGGTTCTCCTCACCCCTGAGAAGAGGCACCAAGTATCTTTAGTCCAGAGTTGCTGGGAAAGCAGGAAACCATCTCTCAAGTGCAGACCCCGAGGAAGCATCTTAAAAATAGCATTCTTTAAGAGAGAGGCTAGAGGGATGGCTCAAGTGGTAGAGTGCCAGCCTAGTAAGTGCAAAGCCCTGAGTTCAAATCCCAGTACCACCAAAAGAAAGAGAAAGATTGAGAGAGGGGAGGGGGGGAGAGAAAGAGAATGGGGTGGAGAGAGAGAGAAGGGGGGTGGAGAGAAAGAGAGAGGTGGAAGAGGGAGGGAGATGGGATGGGCCTGGGATGTAGCTCAGTGGTACAGCATGTGCTTAGCACATGCAAGGTTCTGGGTTCAATCCCCAGCAAACCCCCCCTAAAAAAGAGAGAGAAACAAATTTACTTTTAAGCTTCCAAATGGAAAACATGCAACTCAGTTCAAAAATCGTCAGAAACATGATCATTACGAGTTGGAGTGAAAGATTGTACTTAGTGGAGTTGACTCCAAGTTAGCAGAGATCTCACTGGTCTGGAACTGGTAGCTACCGCTTCCAGGTTCAGCCATTCAACAAACCTTCCAAGGCTGTGTTCCAAGTGGACACTCATGCTGGCACTGAGAGAGGAGCTTGTGGCCTGGACCACTCTGACTGGAGCAGTGTCAGGCATGGTGCACTGGGAAGAGAACTCCTTTGAGAGGCCACCTACTGTCACTGTGCCACTCTAGCACACATAGAGCCTCTCACAGACTGAGAATTCCCCCACGAGGTGCTCTCAGGTACTCTGGGAGTTCTCATGACCTACATTTCCCACTCAGGGCCTCCCCTGGCCCTTCTGTGGGGCAGTGAGGAGCATCATTGCCTGTCTCCCCACAGGAGTTCCTGAAGGAAGGGACGCTGATGAAAGTGAGGGGGAAAAACAGACACCCTCGGCACCTATTTTTGGTAAGCAATCTAGTCCCAAACCAAGCCCCGGGACTGTAAACTTCGTGAAATTTTCTAAGGCCAGTATTCAAGGACAAACAGCGGGACTGAGGCAGAACAGAGTCCTCAAGATGAAGCTCACTGTGTACAGCTGTGCCTCCTAGAAAGCTGACATTGTCAGCCTTGGAAGCCCTGAGCAGTCACTTGTTATCTGAATGCTTTTGAGGGGGACATTGCTGAAATTTAACTGCTCAGGTATCCACCTTAAGCAGCCTAAACCAGGGGATTCTTAACCTGGGAATAATTGCTGTGACATACGAGAGAGCTAAGAAAGATCAGCTTGGCCAGGTCTCCCAACAGATGGGCAGCTGAGGCCCAAAAGGAACCCAGGATTGCGACCATGGGTCCAGCACTGTCCCCTCTGTGTGGGAGGCTGGGTGGAATTTAATGTTTAGTGATGTACAGACGCACGTCAAACATCAAGGAATATCCAGGCCTGCGGTGCAGCAGCATCAGCCGCAAGTCTGTGGAACTCTTTGTCCCAATCTAGGACCCCCCAAAATCTGCACTTTCAGTGTCAATCAGTTTTCTGTCATTAGGACAACTATCCGAGATAACCAACTTAAAAAGAATTTTATTTGGCTCACAGTTTTGGAGGCTCTAGTTCCTGGTTGTTGGGCCTCTCACTTCGGGCCTGAGGTGAGGAGTTTATCACGGCAGAGCAAGGCCGCTCATCTCATGACCAGGAAGCAAAAGAGGGGAGGGGAAAGAGCTGGCTCCCATGGACTCCTTGTAGAGGCCTCCCACTGGGCCTTACCCCCTAAAGGCTCCACCACCACCCAACAGTGCCTTCAATACATGGGCCTTTGGGACACCTTCTGTCTGCCGGGCATCATCTTCCTCTCTGCTCTTGCTCTCTGCCCTGTAATCCCTGGTTACTGCCAGCTGTGGCATTAACCTCCTGTGTGTTGTCTGCCTCCTCACACTTAGGATTGCATGTGAGACCACACTTAGGAGGCTCAGGGTGGGTGTCCCTGAGCACCTCCTCTGTGCTGGGTCCTGGGAACAAAGATACGTCACAGCCTTGTCCCCAGCCTCCATGGTCCCCTGGGAGGGAGAAACACACAGACAACAGTGGCAAACACAGTTGTGAGAAAGAGATGGCAGGAATCTCGGGGAACACGGAGATAAGGGCAGAGAGATGGCAGCTGCCACTTATTCAGTGCCTTCTGGGTTCTGCACTGTGCCCCGGGGGTCATGTTTCCTGGAGAAAATCTACATGAATTAAGTCCTGAAGTGAGGATGGGCGTCTGCTGAGGACAGAGGAGGCATTTCAAGAGAGAGAGGACAGCTTGAGCAGAGAACAGCATGCTGTGTTTGGAGGACCTCCTGACTCCAGAAGGCTTTGGTGCAGATGGGCCTTCCACTGACGACTCAGGTGTCCGCCATGCCCCAGTAGACCCAGTCACTGAGGGGCCACTTGGAGCTGAATTCCAGCGAGAGCTGAGGAACAGAAATGCTGAGCCTGGCCAGAAAGTGTGGGGTGTGCTGGGTCTCCATGGCTTGTGTCCTAGGCCATGGCCTGGCCTCATGAGTCTATCAGCTCTGCATGACACACAAAGTGACCCAAATTGAGAATTTCTCCTCCCCCCCTCCCCCATTTTTTTCCTGAGACAAAAATTTATGTATGCCAGACTGGCCTTGAACTCAAGCTCCTCCTGCCTCAGCCTCGCAGGTACTGGGCTTGCAGGCTTCTACCACCATGCCAGCTTCCCTCCCTTTCTTGACTGTATTTTATTGAGGTTTAATTATGAAGATCTTAAGCTACGTGTCAGTCTGTACTGACCAGTGCTTAGCGTTGCTCAGCCTCCTCCTGGGTCAGGATTTGCAGCATTGCAGACCCCCTCCCTGCAGGGGGGAGGACCACTTGCAAGACCCACCACCGCCTGCAAGGACCCGGGCAACCACTGGCCTGATTTCTGTCACTCTAGATTGGTTTTGCCTGACCTGGACCTTCATGTAGATGTGGTAGCTTCTTCCTCCACTCAGCATGACTTCGAGGTTTGTCTGTGTGGCCGCGTGTCTTGCAGCTTGCTCCCTTGCGTAGCTGCGCAGTGTTCGTAGCATAGCTATCCCGGCTTTCAGTAGGCGTTGGGGTTGTTACGGCTTTTTGACCGTTAGCCACAAAGCCACTGTGACATTCACAGTCACAGTGATGTGTTGGGGCCCAGGCATCAGTTCCCTTGTGTACCTGCCCAGGACTGGAGCTGTGGGGAAGGGAATCATGAACACAGAGTGGTTCTGCTCCCCTGTGGGGGTAATGAGGTGCGTCAAATCCCTGTGCACCCCAGAGCTCAGAGATCCTTCTATAGCGGAACACCTCTGATGGGGTTTCCTTCTCCCCAGATGAGCGATGTGCTTCTGTACACGTATCCCCAGAAGGACGGGAAGTACCGGCTGAAGAGCTCACTGCCAGTGGCCAGCATGAAGGTAAAGGCCCAGCTCTGAGCACCCTGAGGAGCAGCAGGGAGACCAAAGGGAGTAAGAGATGGTGTCCTCCGGGAGCACCCAGACTGGCCGGAGGAGTAGGAGGAAGGAGCCCTGAGGAAACTGTTGAAATTGTGAACAGCAGCGGGTTTATGCTCTGGGTAGTTCAGGGATGGGAAAGAACAGGAAGGCTTCCTGGAAGAGGGGAGCAAAATCCTCAGAGTGGACAGTATTTGGTCAGATGGGGAGAGGGAGAGAAGGAAGGACATCCTATGGGAGGAAAATGCACAACAGAAGGTTTGGAGGGAGAAAACAAGCAGATTTTTGGTAATTTTTTGTTCTCTTGGCCGTAGTGGGAATTTAACTCAGGGCCTCACACTTGCTAGGCAGGCACTCTACTACTTGAGCCATGCCCCCAGCCCTTTCTTCTTTGGTTATTTTGGAGATAGGGTCTGGATTTATGCCTGGACTAGCCTTGACCGCATCCTCCTGTTTACGCTTCCCGTAGCTGGGATGCTAGCCTGGGGCCTTTTATTGATCGAGATGGGAGGTGGGTCTCTCTCAAGGTTTTTGTCAGGGCTGGCCTTGAACCACCATCCTCCTGATCTCCTCCCAAGTTGCTAGGATGCCTGATAATTGTTTTAGTTGCGGTGAAATACACATAGCGCTGACCATCTTAGCCATTTTCAAGCACCCAGTTCAGTGTCATTAAGCATATCACGTTGTTGGGCAGCCACTGCCACCGTCCATCTCCAGAGTATTTTCATCTGCCCAGCCAAAACTCTGCCTTCACTGAACACTCATTCCCCTCCCGTCCCCAAGCCACTGGCACCCACCATTCTCTCTGTCGCTGTGAATTTGACTGCCCTGGGGACCTCGTGTACCTGGAGCCCAGCAGTTTGTGTCCTTGTGACGAGCTTACTTCCCTTGGCTTTTCAGCCAAGGTTCATACGTGAGGTAGTGTGCGTCCACAGCGCCTTCCTTTCTAAGGCTGAATAACAGCTGCTGTATGTGTGCATCCCGGCTCACCCCTTCAGGGGACACCTGCGTGACTCTCACCTCTTGACCGCTGTAGAGATACCACATGGACTCAGGCTTGCGTGTGTGGACCAGCTCAGTGCAGCTTGGTCCTGAAGACGGACATGGGGGAGCACTGGGGGATTCTTAGGGCACAGAGATCTTGGGGCGTTAACTCCGGAGCTACTGCAGTGTTTCAGCAGAGCAGCAGCGGGGTGGCGAGGAGAGCTGAAGGAGGTGTTTTGGGCCTCTTTCATCCCACTGGCTCTCTAAGGGAGGTGGGGAGCAGAAGAAGGGAGCCCTTTCTCAGCGGGAGGCTTGTTCCACCAAGGAGCCTGTGAGAGGTGGCGGTGGTGGACAGGTACTTTGTCCACCCCCAGGCACACCTGTGAGACTGCCCAGCAGGGCCATGAGGGTGGTGCCCCGCAGCCTTCCTGGGGTGGGTGAGTGGCCCAGAACAACAGCGTCAGCAGCTGTGCACTCCCACCACCTGAGGTCTGCCCCGTATAGGTGAGGAAACTGTGGCTAAGGGGCAGCCGTGTCGGGTCTGTGCTCACCCTTCCTTGCCTCGCCCTGAGGTGGCTGCTGTTGGTTTTCCTGGCAGGTCAGCCGCCCTGTGATGGAGAGAGTACCCTACGCTCTGAAGGTCGAGACTCCTGAGACCTGCCTGATGCTCTCTGCAAGGTACAGGGCAGCGGGCGGGAGGACAGCGCAGCAGAGCTGTTGGGTGGGAATGTGAGGAATAGCAGAGGTTGGATGTATCACTGTTTTTATCCTACTGTCTTTTTTTTTTTGTGTGTGGCACTGGGATTTGAACTCAGGGCCTTATGCTTGCTAGGCAGGCACTCTGTCACTTGAGCCACCCTGCCAGCCCTTATCCTGCTGTCTTTTTGGGTCAAAGTTCTTTTTTCTTTTCGGTGTTTAAGCATGTTTGCTCACAGACCCCTTTTTGAATCTGATTGGGTAAAAAGAAATACTGTGCCTTGTAGATGGTACCTTCTCACAGTAACCTTATATGGTGGAAGAGTTAAGGGCTCTCATCTCATTCATGAGGCTCCACCCTTGAGGTGACCTATGAATTTGGGGAGGACCTAAGCAGGCAAACCACAGCAGGGAAATTGGCCTTTCTGTTGGAAATGTCTGCATCGGGCTGGAGAGTGGCTCAGTGATACAGCGCTTGCCTCACGTGCAAGGCCCGGGGCTCTCTGCATTTTCTCCTAGGGATGCCCCATGGCCAGCGCTAGACCACGGCCTTAAGGAGCATCCAGCCCCTTCTCTCCCTTCCAGGCCAAGGTGAACTTGCACTCTTGGGGTCAGAACTGGGAGGGGCAAATTCTGCCAGGGGCAGCTCTTCAAGTTGAGCATGGTGGGGTTGAGGCAAGCTGTCTACCCTCCCTGCTGGTGTCTGATCCTGAATGGCATTGTCACCCGTCACGTGGGGACTTGTCCTGCCCATGGGGGGCCAGTTCTGGGAGTGCAATGGGTGCATCCACACCAGCACGTACAGTCTTTTATGGGCACTGGTTCATTCAGCATTCACTAGCTGCACCTCAGTGCCAGGTCCTACACCATGGTTTAGCCCTTGATGTCCTAGGGAGGAGCCCACACTATGGGAAGGAGGGTTATGTTGAACACCGGTTCTGGTGTGGCTTGGTAAGTGCTGTGTTGACTAGAAGTGTCCAGGACAGCAGTGACAGGCATTGGACCTGCCAGGTCTCAGGCAACTCTTGTCCTCATCCTTGGAGGTGGGGTTGCAGACCCTGTCTTGCACAGAGAGTTGAGGACCTAAAGAGAAGTCACACAGCCATGGGAGGCAGAACTGGGATCTGAATGCGAAGATCTGCCCAAGGGGTAGAAAAGCTGTGGAGATTCAAAGGAGTGACTGCCCCATCTAGGGAGGGGGCTTGGCTTCCTGGAGGAGGTGGTGACTGGGTGGCCTCTCCTCTTTTCTCAGCGCAATCAGGGGCAGGAGGGGACCCAGAATATAGATTCTGTTTGCCCAGCCATTACTGAGAGTAGTGACAGGCCACACTCCAGCCTTCAGGTGAGGATGCCTATTTTCTTCAGGCAGGGGCCTCAGGAGTCACTGTCATTGACAGGCCTGTCACCTTTCTGCTAGTGTAGACCCATCACACTGGAGCTGGGCTGAGGGAGTGGGTCCCATATATCTCCTTTTGCAGACATGGTACCTGGTTGCCTACCAAGCCCATTTCGCTTTTACCCACCACCCTTGCTCCCTCTCAGGCCACAGTGTCCCCTCTCTCAGCTCAGGCTTTCCTGGGTCTCTGCACTCCTATGCGGGGTGAGTACGACACCTAGTGGACACTTTGAGAATTTTCACCTGGCTGCCATCCCTGGGGCACTGCACCCAGGCTATTCTTGAAGTCTGTCGGCAGTATGCATGTCTGGAAAGCTATGTGGGAAAATGAGGAGGAAGATGGAGACTGGATGTTTACCATCACCAGTTCCCATCTACCTCACCCCCACACGGGTTCCTGCCTTCTTCCCCTGCTGGCCAGTCACTCCTGAAGTGTGGGATCCGGGGCCTTCTCCGTGTGGTGCTTTGCTGTTGACAAGGTGGCTCCACATCTCACACCTCATCCCACCCTCACCGCAGCTGGGAGCTAGAGGTGGGGTGTAATTCCCAGGAGGAAACCAGCCCAGAGGACAGCTCACGGGTCCATATTGGTCCTACTACTGAGTGAGAAGCTGGATTCAAATTTAATTTAGCAGGTGGCCAGTGCTTTGGCAGTGGGGCAGGAGGCTCAGGTTTGGGGCAGGGGGTGATCAGGGACACATCCACAGGGAGGGGGTGGCAGGGAGAGCTGCCTGAGTGTGCCATGGCTCACCCTAGCACGTGCCCACAGCTCTTGCGCAGAGAGAGACGAGTGGCATGGCTGTCTGAGCAGAGCTGTCCCCGAGGACTACAAGACCCAGGCTCTGGCAGCGTTCCACCACGGTGTGGAGGTGAGTGGAAGTCCATTCTGCCCAGAGAGCCCCTGAGCAGAGACCATTGCAGGCCACTCACACCCAGCAGGATACCTGCCTCCTGTCCTTGTTGCCCTGGCTTCCAAACCCAAGTCAGGCACCTCCGTGCAACCCACAAGCCCAGCACCCAGCCGCACTTCCCAGTCACTGTTTCCAACCGAAGGCCGGAAGATTGGAGATTCTGGAGAGGCTTATTCAGAATTAGGGACCCTGAAACCTGCATGCTCCCCGGGAGGAAAGGGGGCAGGGCTTGCCTGAGCCACCCATCTGGCTGTCTCTTGACCATATTGCCTACCCTATCCTGTTGCTCCAGATTCGCGAGAGGCTAGGGGTCAGCCTAGGGGAGAGGCCCCCAACCCTGGTGCCCGTCACACATGTCATGATGTGCATGAACTGTGGCTGTGACTTTTCGCTCACCCTGAGGCGCCATCACTGCCATGCCTGTGGCAAGGTAAGTCACCGTCTTGATGAGTGTGGCCGGGAGCAGGGCCTGGGGCTCGGGGGCCCAGAGCAGGATATGTTCGTAGCAACCCTGAGAGGTGGAGATTGCTCCCACCCCCCACCCCCCACCCACCACTTGCAGTGTTTTCATCAGAGCATATACAGTGACGGTCCCTGGAAGAGAAAGTGTTCTGTCATGGTTAAGGGCCCAGCTCATCAAAAAAACAGAGAGGCCCTCGCTCAGAACTGCCCTGCAGCCTGGGCCACAACCTAGGGTGATGGTCAGAGCTCAGGGCTCCCCGGAGGAGGTGAGGGGCGGATTAGCAGGGCAAGAGGATGCTGATCTCTTCGCACATGCTGAGAGTGTGACAACCGCTCAGACACATTCCCCACGCGGCCTGCAGATCGTGTGCCGGAACTGTTCTCGCAACAAGTACCCACTGAAGTACCTCAAGGACCGGATGGCCAAGGTGTGTGATGGCTGCTTTGGGGAGCTGAAGAAGCGGGGAGGGGCCATCTCCGGCCCCATGAGAGGTGAGCTTGCTTGGCCCTTGCCTTCCTCCAGAAGGCCCAGTGGCCTCTATCCAGGCTCCAGAGCGGTCTCTGTGGTCCCGAATTCTTGCCTGAGCTCACTTTCCCCAGAGGGAGGGTGTTCCCTTCACGAGGGAGAGGAGACCTCATGTTCACACCAGGGCTCCCTTCCCCAAAGTCCTGGTTCCATGGAAAACTGATCATGACAGGTTCTGTAGGCAAAGTTCAGGCACCAATGTATCTCTGTGAAGAGGACAGAGCAGACAGGCATCATGTTCATGATGCCATAGAGGCCCCTTTGGAGGAACATTCCATAACCTGTGTTCTGTGGGACCTGTGGGGACCTTTATGGGACTGACAGGAGTGTAGATAGGGCAGAGGTAGAGAGGCCTCAGACAAAGGAGCCATTGGAAGCTGAGCTGACCCTTGAGACTTTAAAGGACAGGCTGTGCCCAGAAGCTCGAGAGAGAGAGAGAGAGAGAGAGAGAGAGAGAGAGAGAGAGAGAGAGTGAGAGTGAGCAGGTGTATCCTGGGCCTGAAACCAAGTGTGCCCCTTCCCTGGGGCCACACCAGATCCTGCTGGTGGGGCTGGGAGGACTGCCCAGTGTCCTGGAAAAGCAGTGTGCATCAGCAGGAGGGAGTATACAGCATCTCGGCCTCCTGACGCTGTGGCAGGCTGGCTCACACTGGGAGGGACCCCGTCCCACCAGAGTCAGCAGTTGGCGGACAAGCCACTCTCATCTCCTTCCTTGCCCGCCCTGTGGCTTCTCTCCCTGCAGAGCGCCCCGTGAGCATGAGCTTCCCCCTGTCCTCGCCCCGCTTCTCCTCCGTCTTCCTCAGCATCAGCCCCGCCACCTTCAAGAAGCAGAAGAAGGTCTCTTCCGCCCTGACAGAGGTAAGGCAGGTAGGGTGCAAGAGAGGCCACGGAGGACTCAATTAGAACATCCTGTTGCAACCTGACCAGTCTCTTCAGGGCTAAGAGAACTCCTAATGGGAAAGTCTGCCATTGGACCTGCAGGACTCACTCGCCCCTAAGAACGGCAGTGCCTCGCCTCTGTTGCAGCCCTCAGAACAGGCCGGTCTTCTGCGAGAGACTGAGAAGATAGGTTGGGGGTGGGCAGGGCCCGAAGGTTGTAGATGGTCCAGGGAGCATCTTCTTGTCCTCCCTTTTTCCCCCTCCTCCTCTTTTTCTCTTGACTCATACTCATCATGGGGATGGCACAGATTGCTGGGGCTCTGGGCTCTAAAGGAGCCAGGGCCATGGGTTAGTTCTTCTGCATCCGGGCCTCTGAGCTGGCCCTGCTCCCACACTGTTATGTCCCACCCTGGCACGGGTGGTGAGTCCCAGGAGGCCAGGAGGCTCTTGCAGGAAACCTCAGAATTGGCTAAACAATCCGCAAGCAGGAACGCACCATGTGTTTGTATTCTAATCAAACTATGGACAGGTGTGTGCCCGTCTGAAAAGTGTGGTCAGCAGCTTCCAGGTCTCCCCATTAATATTCACTATTGAGTGGCAGGTGCAGAGGTTTTAAAGTGTTAGGAAATGAAGATTGTAAATGGGTACAGTTCTGTCCATTAACTTAGTCCTTTTGCAAATTAAAAATCTTGAGAACAGGGCTGAGGGTGTAGCTCCGTGATAGAGCACTTGTCTAGCATATGCCAGCTCCTGGGTTCTACCCCAGCAACTGAAGGAAAAAGAAGTCTTGGAAATACTACATACATGATAAAAAAAAATTCTTTTTTTCAAAAAAGTATAAAAGAATACTTGATGAAAAGTGAGTTTCTCTCCCTCCCCAGCCTCCCTCAGTTCCCAGAGGTAACCATCACTTTTCTTATGGATCCTTCAAGAAATGTTCAGGCACGCATGTAACGCAGGCGTGCTCTAGTCTTTTACCCAAAAGGTAACATTATGCCAGGCTTTCTAAGTGTTTTCCACTTAATGTGTCTTCCAGCTCATTTCACATTTGTCATACACATAGCCTCACACTCTCCAGCCCATCCTTTGTTTAATTAGTCCCTTTCCACAAGTTAAGACATCACTTCCACATTAGTAGTGATCTACCTGGGTGTCCCATGACTGCACTCCTACAGTCATACTGCTCTGATCCCATGCCATCTGCGTACCTATGTCAGCCTTAGCCAACCCAACATGACAATCCTTTTTATTATCCGGCATGGACGAGACTCAGCAGAGGCCCCGGCAGAAATGCCCCGCAACTCTGTGTTTGTCCTCTCTGGAGTGGGACTTGCCTCGAGAGGACATGGGCAGGAACTGCCCCCAGAGCACATGCTGTCCTGTGGGGCGGGGTGGGGGATGCAGGATCTGGTTCTGCCCACTGCCTCCTGTACCTCTGGAGGCACTCCAGCTGGGCAGTGGGGTGGGCGGGGAGACAAAGCCCATGCCAGAGTCAGGAGTCACAGGCCCTGCTTCAGGGCAGGACTTAACACCACTTCCTGTCCAGTACATCTCAAGACAGTCCCACCTGGTTGCAGGTCCCTGTCCCTAAACACAACAAGTTCACTGAACCCCAGAGTAGTCACTGAGAAGTCTGAGTTTTTACCATCTTCAGCTGAGTAAGAATTGAACAGCAGATCCCTCTGTTCCTCTGGGCCTCAGTTTCCCCATGTGTAAAATGAGAGCGTTAGATGAAATTATCTCTAAACCTAGCTGAGGGTTTAAAACTCAAGTTAGTATTTATGGAGCACTTAGTGTGAATCAGACATGACACCCATCAGAAACCCATATTGTGTCATTTAGCTCCTCGTTGCTAGTAAGAAAGAGGAAATTGCCCACATCAATTTACTGATTGCTATAGCCAGGATTGGAACTGAAGCTTAGCATTACTTCAAGCTTCTGGGTTGGTTGGCTGGTTGGTATTTTTGGTGCTAGGGATAAACCCAAGCGCTCATGAATGCTAAGCATGGGTTCTACTGCGGAGCCATACCTCATCCCCAGATCCTGTGTTCTTAACCACTGCGCAAAGCCTGACAACAATGCTGCTACACCAGTGTTAGTAGTAAGAATAATTAAAGGATTGGTGCTGTACACCCCACTAAAACCTTTCACCCAAATATTTGCAGTTTTGTGACTGGGGGGTGGGGCTGGAGGAGGGAATCAAGAATGTGCACCAACTGTAGGGGGCAGCCCTTCCCTACTGGAAGCAGTCCACTCTGTCCTGTTTCTCAGACCCTCTTCTGTTTTGCTGACTAAATGCATCCTGTGACCGTATCAGATTTCAAGCCAGTCTGCCAGCAGTTTTAGCTGTGTTTGACCTACGCCCCACCACCGGTGCCCTGACCACTCTGCTTCCCTTCCACCAGGTGGCCGCCTCTGGAGAGGGCTCTACCATCAGTGGCTATCTGAGCCGATGTAAGAAGGGCAAGCGGCCCTGGAAGAAGCTCTGGTTTGTCATCAAGGGCAAAGTGCTCTACACCTACTCGGCCAGCGAGGTAGTGCTGTTGCTTCTCCCTGGGAAGGCCCCGCCCTAGGTGGGAGCCTCAGAGGGCCTGCCTGGGGCTGCACTCATCCTGTCACCTGCAGGGCCCTGTGAGTCCCTGAGGCTGGGGCCTCTTCTGTGGGCAATTGAATGTTCACATGCTGAGTAGCTGTGGATCCGCACACAATCACTCAGAGGTTCCACAGGGGGGATTTTGCAGTTCCTTTGTGGAGATAAGAAGGCACAGCCTACAGATCTGTGCAACTAAGTATTTAAATGTCACAGGGCAGGCCCACAGCTAGGACAGGTCGGGCAGCCACAGAAGAAAACTCCCTTCTCTCCATTTTTTTTGTCTGTTGATTTCTTTTCCTACAGTAACTCTGATGGCTCTAGTAATGCTTCTAAATAAAAGTGAAAGTAATACTTTTATAGAACACCTTTTACATTTTCTAAAATACAGATTGAGAGAGCTGTAGAAATCAGCCTGCTCCATTCTACAGCCAGGCACTGTCTGGCCCTGCCCCAGGCTGAATCTGTTGGATAACGGATAATATTAGAGTTTTCCATCTCTAGGCCCCACCGTCAGGTGGCTCCACAGGCTAAATCCTCTTTGAAAATGGGACAAATGCACTCTGAGCCTGTGCAGAGGGCGGGTGCTTTGCCTCACCTGGCTGCGCTCATCACCAAGGGCCATGCTGCTGACCTCCCAGTGCTCAGGGACGTACAGACGCACGGCCTTTGGGGCATAAAGCTTTCCTTTTGAAGGACCCGCAGTTAAGACAGTTGCTGTAAGCCCTGTCCTGAGGGATCACAGGACCAAGAGAGAAGTGGGCAGGCAGAGGGGAGCCTGTAGGGGCCTGAGTGATGATGGGCAGTGTGTGAGCCCAGGGGACCTTTATTTACATGTCTGTTGTAGGGCTTTCTGCACTGGCAGAAATTTTCATCATTCCAGAGGGGCTTCATTCTTAAGAAGGCATGCAAGGGACCGTGGCAGGGGTCTGTGACAGTTGAGCTCCAGGTGTCCTGAGTCAGCAGTGCCCCTCAGAATCTCCACTGTCCCAGGGGTGCTGTGACTCTAAGACCTGCAGCTGTCCCACGCCGGCCCCGACTGCAGCCCTCACGGATCCGCATGCAGAGTCATTGCTGAGTGGAGCACTCCCTGGGGAGAAACACAGGCTCAGCCAGATAAGTGAAGGCGAGCCACCTGTAGACACCTCCCAGGAGAGGAGAATGCTGTGAGAACAGAAGCCCCGCAGTCACTAGGTCCCAAGTGACATTGGTCATGGAAGTGACTGAACAGGCCGACTTTAAAGGACAGATTTAAGTATGGGGAATTACACAGCTTCTCAGTGGACAGGTTTCAGTGATGGGGCAAAGCTTTCAAATTCCCCAGAGAAGGAAGTTCTTGAGTTAGAGAGCCAGCTTGCACTGTCTACAGACCAGGGACCTGTCGTGTGCTCTGAGGTCACGCACAGCTGAGGCCACCTGCTTCACTGAAGGTGCTGAGAGAAGGTGACTCTTAAATATATTGAATCTTTTAAAATTATTCACTCTATTACTTAATATATTTATTATCCAAAGCTTCAAGCCTAGAGAAGTGTGGAAAGAATTTTATAGTAAACTGTCATAGAGATCACACAATTAACGTTTTATTATACTTCCTCTTATCACTTTCCCTTACCTATGTATTCACCCCTTCATGCAGCCTACTTCTCGATGCTTTTCAAAGTGCACTTTCTCCTCATTCAGTGTTTGATGAATACATACACCTCTAATCCGCCACTCGCCCCATCCCCAGAGGCAACAAGTTGTCCTGCTCTTTTTCCAGCATAGATCAGTTCTGCCTCGTTGGAATCTTAACATAAATGGAACCGTGACTTCTTTCACTCATCACAGTGCTTTTAAGACTCTACCATGTTGCATGTAGCGATAGTTATTCCTTTTTGTAGCTGAGTAGTCTTCCATTTTGACTATAACAGTGTATGCATCTGCTGAAGGACATTTTGGTTCTTTTTTATTTTGGGCAATTGTGGATGAGGCTACCTTAAAACTTTGTTTTATTTATTTATTTTTTTTGCAGTACTGAGACTTGACTCAGCTTATACCTTGAGCCACTCCATCAACCCTTTTTTGTAATGTTTTTTTCGAGATAGGGTCTCGTGAACTCTTTGCCCAGGGTTGACTTCAAATCACCATCCTCCTGATCTCTGACTCCCAAGTAGCTAGGATTACAGGCATGAGCCACTGGCACCTGGTCTGTATACAGTGTTGGTGTGGACATGTTTTTATTTCATTTGGGGTAAATACCTTGGATTGGACTTGCTGAATCTTAAGAGATCAGTTTGATTTATAAGACATTGTGAGAACTTCCCCTAGACTGTTATAACCCACTTGACACTCCCCCTAATTGCTTTCCACTTTGGCCAACACTTGGTATTGTCAGTCTTTAATTTTAGCCATTCTAGCAGGGGTGCAGTGGTACCTCAAAGTAGTTTTCATTTGTATTTCTCTAGCAATTAATGATATGAAGCACATGAGAGTTTTCACGTGCTTATTAGCCATTCATATATTTTCCTTCAATAAATACATGTTCATATCTCTTAGCCATTTTTAAAAATAAGTTGTGACAGGGGTTCTTTCTGTAGCCTAGAGTCCAGTCTTTGTCAGGTAAATGCTTCACATGTGTTCTCCCCAGTCTGTTTCTTAATGAAGGTATGAGTATTTTGGTGAACCGAAGTCTTTAACTTTGATGATGTCTAGTTTAGCAATGTTGTCCTTTTTAGCTGTTGATTTCTGTCCTAGGAAACTTTTATCTTCTGCACATCACCAAGTTATTCTCTTGGATTTTCTTCTGAAAATCTCTGCTTTTACATTTAGTCTATCTCAAGTTGATTTTGTATATGCATAGTGTAAAAAGTTACTGTTTTCCATATGGGTATCATTTTAGGCTCTGTGTTGCTGTGACCAAATACCAAGAAAAGCAGCTTAAAGGAGGAAGGGTTTATTTGGGATCACGATTTCCATATCACGTGGACAGGAAGTGGAAAAAGGAATGTAGGAAGGGGCCAGGGCAAGATACAGGTGCCAAGGGCCCCTTAGCAACCCTGCTGCCTCCAGGCGGGCCCCTCCTCCTTCTCCTCACCACCTTCCATGGTGCCATAAGATTGTGGTTGTAAGTCCAAATTTTGGCTCTTTCCCTTTCTAGCTGTGTGATCTTGGGGCATTGCCTTCTCTGAGCCTTGTTTTCTTCTTTGAAACAGGACAATAACTTCTGTGATTGTGGTTATCATTAGAAAAGATAATGGAAGTGAAAATGCCAGCCCCTCACAGGCCATCCCAACTTTTGTTCCTTCCCAGGGCTGGCCCTAGGCAGAAAGGGTGGAGAGTGTGGCTCAGCCCTTCTGGGTGGCTGAGCTCACTCAGAGGTGTCTTCATATGCCTTCCATTGGGAGGCAACCGTGAATTCTAAATGCTCAGTTGTGCATTGTGCGAGGTTAATGTCACTTTCTCCTTCTGCCCTACACAGGACAAAGTGGCCTTGGAGAGTATTCCTTTGCTGGGTTTCACCATTGCCCCAGAAAAGGAGGGAAGTGGCGAAGTAGGACCTGTTTTTCACCTTTACCACAAGAAAACTCTATTTTATAGCTTCAAAGCAGAAGATGCCAGTTCAGCTCAGAGGTACCAGAAAAAAATTGATCTTCAATCTCCTTGTCTGTCTCACAGAGAGTTCCTGGGATGGTACCCAGGGCTTTGGCACCTGCTCTCCTTGGGCCATCCCATCCCATCCCATCCCATCCCATCCCATCAGTCCCCAGGGCCATCTCAGGGCCAGGCAGTGTCAGTCTGTAGACTATTAGGGTTTACTCATATAGGTGTGCACTGATGCTGTAAACTGTCATGCTGTGTTCCAGGCCATTTGCTAACTATGAAGAACCTGTTTGAGAGGCAGATATGAATATGACATAGTTCTTGACTCCAGTGTGGTAGAAATCTAGTTTAGTCACTTATTGTTTCTGTGACCAGAGTCCCAGGCGGAGCCATGACACCAAATGCTCTGTCTTGTTTCCCAGGTGGATGGAGGCCATGGAAGATGCGAGTGTGTTATAGCAGTCATCAAACACGTGGACTCAGGACGAACTCTTAGGTTGATTTGTGAACCCTTCCAGAAGCTACTCTGTCTCAGCTCCTCTGGATGCACATCTGGGTTCAGCAGGGGGCTTGGTCTTTTGGCAGTTACCCCCCTCACACCTTCATAAGTGGAGCCCTAAAGGAATATTTATAGACCAGACTTTTCTGCCTTCATGTCTCCCAGCCCAGTCATAAATGACTTCCTTATCTGGCAGTGAGTTAAGTAACTTGAAGATGTGGAAATCAGTAGAAAAAGTACACTTAGGAATAGGCTTTTTAGTAGAAACAAGCTTTTCCCGTTTTACTCATGGTAAACATTACCACCTCCCATCATGTCCATTTGGGGCCTCGGGTGAAATGAGAACCCCCTCTAAGAACGCCCATTCCCGTCGAAAGCACTTTATTGTTTCACTGAGCTGCGTCCTCCAGTGTCTTCCAAGTGATGTACTGAAGTCCACAGCAGGCGGAATCCTGTGAACTCTCTTGTCACAAGTCCTCTGATGAGGGATTGGCACTGCTGCCAGGACTGCTTTCCACTGGCTAGGGAGGGAAGGAGGGGCTTTCTTCCTACCCACCCATCCTACCGACCTACCGACCTGCATCCTGCCATAACTTATTAAATAAAGGAACAGCTCCCTCCTTCCCACGAAGTCAACACCACACCAGGGCTGCAAATGCAGCTGCTGGCAGATCCAGCCCCAGAGGTCAGCACAGGTCCTTGGAAGACAGTGTCTGCTTTAATTTATTGTGTGCCTTCCTGTGTCCACCCTTTGCAAGCTGACAAGGAGCCTGTCCTCCCTGAAGACACACAGAATTCTTGGGCAAGATCACAAAAGCCTTTTCACTTTTTGAAAGAGATGGAAAAGACAGATGGAGGTGTCTTCAGAAGGCGGTCTCAGCAGATGGCTCCTGACGTGGCGAGGAAGCATGAGGCGGAAGCTGGAAGACGCTGTCCACATACCTGGGTGTGGTGATGCTGCCACTGTGCTGGGTGCTTTTACATAAGGCCAAGGGCGAGGGGCAGGATTCCTTGTTTCTGTCATTGCAATTAAAAAGTGCTATCATTTCCTGATTTCCTGCCCTCAGTTTTCCTGCTACCCTGCCTCTGTGGAAAGCCATTGGTGACAACTTCTTGTAAAAAGCCCCATCTCAAGGACGTATTTACATTAAATATTTCAGGGAAAAGTTGTTTTTTTTTCTAGTCTGCAGTTTTTTTTTAAAATGTTTGCATTAAACATGTAACTAACTAATGATTCAAACCAGGTGACTAGATAGGTCTTCTGGTTTGTTTTTGAGGGTTTAATTTCAGCAGAACCATGCTATCAGACAAGTAAGTGTACCTGGGCGCCTCCTAGACTTGTTCAGCCTTTAAAAAGCAGAGCAAGACTTCAGTATGGTAGTCCTCTCATCTGTGGTTTCTTTTTCTGTGGTTTCAATTACCTGAGGTCAACTGTGATCCCAAAATATTAAATGGAAGTTTCCAGAAAATAAATTCATAAGTTTTAAATAATTTTTATTACAGTATAATTGTCCCGTTTTATTATTAGTTACTGTTACTAATCTATTACTGAGCCTAATGTATAAGTTAAACTTCACCACAGGCCTGCATGTGTAATGCTCAGCACGACCGCGGTTTCAGGCATTCACTGGGGTCTTGGCACACATGCCCCAGAGCTTGGGGATAGCTGTGGCAGGCAGTGGGCGCCTCCCTAACCTGCCTCTTTCCACTGCCCATCATCAGTTTCCCCCTCCAGATACAATAATATGTCTGAGAGTTACCTGAAGACCTCTTTGAATTTAGATTTCCCACTCCCTTTTTTTCAGTGTTAAGAATGGAACCCAGGGCCTCCTGTACAGTAGGCCCTACCACTGAGCTACCCCCCGCCGCCACCTCTTTTACCTTATAACATCCTATTTCTGATGTTCTGCAAGAAGAGACAGTAAAGCATTTATTTCTGTAGGACTACTTACCAAGATAAACATGCACAGGTTATTGATGGAGCATATTAGATAAAGCCAGGTGTGGTGGTGCATATCTGTAATTCCAGCTGCACAGGAGGCAGACAGGAGGATTGTGAGTATGAGGCTAGTTCAGGCTTGAAACCCTGTCTCAAAAACAAAATACAAAGACGGGGTGTGGGGCTTACGCAGTAATACCCTTAGCTGACATGGCCAGGGCCCTGGGTTCAATTCCCAGAACCACACCAAACAAACAAACAAACAAAAAAACCCCAAAAAACCCAAAACAAAACCATGTTGGCAGAGGCCACCAAGATCCTCCATAGCTCATGTGTGACTGGGCAAGGCCCCACCTATCTTAACCATGGGTGGCCTGTCCTTCCCCTGATTCTCTATGTGCTCATTTCAGGCTTAACTTCTGCTGCATTAGTGCTCACCATACCTTCCCCACCCTCCTCTTTGCCCAGCCCATTTCACATGTCCATGTTACCTGTCTGTGGGGCCAGCCCAAAGCAACAGGATGAAGCCACCCCACTTGGCCTGAGGGCATGCCTTCCCACTGGGCCTGGAAGCTGTGGAAATGACTAGCTGTGATACCACAGAGATGCTGGCCGGAGATCCGCTGCTCTCTGGCAGAGTAGCACCTCCACTGCACCCCCAGCAAAAGCTGTGTTTATGGGGAAGAAGCCACACTGTGCCAAGCTGTGACCCAGGAATTAGAAAATGCAGGCCCTGGGCACGAGTAGCTAGGAACCCTGGTGTTTTCTGCTACACAAAGATCACTCCAGCTCCTCCAGGGGTTAAGGGAGAAAGGCCCACATTGAACATTTAAGTCAGTAAGTCCACAAAGAGCCTGTGTTATCACACAAAGTGAAAATGAAGCCATGCCCTGCTCTCTCACAATTCAAAAGGCAGACAACACACATAGCAAGTTCTTCTCTCTCCAAGAAAAGGACACAGGCCCATGTCGTTTGTTGAATCTCTTGCCTCTCACTGGTCTCGTTCCCTCTCGGGAGAGCCTTTGCAGGGCCGGCCTCTGTTAGCTTCTCAGGTTTTACTAAAAGCAGATGGCACTGCCTTTCCACAACTAGCTTCACAACTTAGCACACACTGAATTTGTGACTCCAGGCTGAGTTGGTCTAAGTAAGTAGGGAGGATTCTGTTGCTTATTACTAAAGCACATCAGAAATGTCGTAGTGCCCACAGACATTGTTCCTGGTCCTAATATTAATTCTTGTCCATGCTAGGAGTCTGCTGAGTTTTCTGCCTGGCCTGCAATCTGGTCCTGGGTAAAGGAGTTGGGAGACGGGAAGCACTTGGTCTGATCTCAGCATCACCTCTCAGGCTGGTGTGAAGGCCCAGCAGCCCTGCTGCAGCAGCTGAAAGGTGGCTGGCTAGTCAGTGGCCTTTCTTTACCTCATCCAGTCTTTCATTTGACTGATGCTGCAAATGTCACTGACTATGAAGCCGGAGCTGGGGATTGGGGCTGCTGAGGGTGGTAGGAATCCCTCTGCTACGGAAGAGTCAGTCACATGCTAGAATATTCTGTGGATTGATTCAGCTGTGTTCTGTGGCCTCCATGCTCACAGAAAATGTTGTGCTTCCACACATTCCCAGCTGCTGAACAGCTGGGCCAGCACTAAGATGTCTGTTTTCAGCAGAAAGGAAAAAGAAAATAATCTCAAACTGTCTTAAGCAGGTGGGGAATGGGTTCAACAGGAGCAAATCCAAGAGGGCTAGAGTACAGCTCTTTGGGCTTTTCTGACCTGCTGTCCACACTCAGCACTGGCTCCCAAGAGACTTGTCACTGATGGTTGGGGTTACAGGCATTCCTGTCCACAGCCACCAAGGAAGGACAAGTTGGCTTCCTGCAGCTAGCTTGTGCTTAGCAACACCCAGCAGGCCCTCTGCACTCCAGCTCACACTTATGTCTACCCTCTCCCAAGCTAGAAAGGGACCACCAAGGGTGGCACAGGCCATTGCAGTGGTTTAGATAACTATCCCCCAGAGGTCCACGTGTTAAAGGTTTGGTCCCAAGGATGATGCTTGGGAAGTGATGGAACCTTTAAGAGGTGGAACCTACATGGAGGTTCTTGGGTCACTGGGGTGTGCCCTTAAGGAGACTGTGGGGCCCTGGGCCCATCTGTGTTTTCTCCTGGCTCATGAGGAATGTGGTTTGTTACACCACATGTTCCCACCATTGCTGTTCAGCACCCCACCAGAGGTGCAAAGCCACAGATTCCCCCAGTCTTGAACAAGAACCTCCAGAACTGTGAGTCAAATAGCCCTTTTCTCTTTATAAGTTAATTATCTCAGGTATTTCATTACAATCACAGAAAACTGACTGCTACCAGTCAGTGGGGAAGGTGGGGCAGGGGGAATGACTGCCTCAGTGGCCACCCTTGGACCAAATCTCCCAGAGAAGACTGTGGTTTGGATTAGTGGAGTGCAAGGGCTATGCCTTGCTGTGGATTTTGGGGTGTTCTGTGATAGAATACTTGAAGAGCAATTATTTGGGCTATTATAAATATTACCTAAATGTTAGAGTAAGTGGCTGCTTTGATACTATTGGTCTTTATGTTCCTAATCAAGCATAACATCAAGTCAGTAGCCAAACAGTAGGACCTCTCACAACCACATAGGGCCTTTGTATGATTCTGATCAACAAATAAGTGTGAAGCACCTTAACCTTGACATGTCACTTAATTCTCTCCAAACACCTGATAGAGTACGTACTACTGTTACCCCATTTTACAGAGGACACTAGGGATGAGAAATGGGTCACTTGCCTGGGGTCAAACATTCCCAACGGCAAAGCTAGGCCGGCCTAAGAGCAACGTGCTTCCCTTCAGCTCCTTTCGAGTGTGTGAACTAATACTGAGTGATCTTCTCACACCTGAAATACGAAATCCCTCTGAAAACTGCCAGAAACCTCTGGCTGCAGAGGCTAGTCAGTAGGACTTTTGCCTCTGAACTCAGACGTGCCCTAAGCTAAATTTTGCATGTCCAATAAAAAGTAAATTTTATCACATAACATATACTCCAGGCATACAATCCAGTATTATTTCAACATTATATAGATAAATAGTTCTGTTTTTCTACAGTCATACACATAAGATTTACCTCAATTGTACATAGAAATCTGAATATTTAAAATTCAAAGTAGGGCTGGGTGTGGCCCAAGTGGTAGAGCACCTGCCTAGTAAGAATGGAATGAGGCTGAGTTTAAATCTCAGTACTGAAACAGGGTTTTGTTTTGTTGCCTAGACTGTTCTCAAATTCCTGAGCTCAAGAGATCCTCCCTGCCTCAGCCTCCTGAGTAGCTGTGACCACAGGCTAATACCCAGCTAAAGGTTTTTTCAGACACTCATGGTGTTGCTCAGTAATTTACATCAAATGTGAGGTGGTTTTAAACTAAGGGACTTAGGGAGCTGGCACATTTTTCTCACTGATATAAGAAAATATAGCTCAATTTCTAAGATGAATTAATAAGCAACCTAATAAATCGATCAATTGGTATTCTCAAACCCTTAGGAATTTTGCATTGTATATGAAACATTTGAAGGTTACAGAATTTGGGGATTTGATAAGAAGTCTTGATTTGGGAAGCAAGCTGTACACTTGATACTCCAATTCCAAGAGGAAGAGAGCCTACATGTTCACAAAACACCTCTGTGTTCTGGGGACACACCCAAGGGAGGGTTTGTTTTCAGAAATGAAATCAAGCCAATGCAAGCAACACACAGCAGTGTCTGGAGGAGGTCACAGGACAACAACATACCCAGCACCAGCCAGAGAGCCCATGTGGGCACTGCCTCCCGGACTCAGACCCTAGACCACAGCCAAATCCTCTGTCCCCACGTGAAGCTCAATTTCCCTGAAGCCTATTTGGCTAGGGGCTCCTCCAGTGGCCACATCTGATCTCCTGTGCATCCCACTTGATAGTTGGTCTGGGGTGAAGCCCAGACGTCTAGTTTCTCCAAGTGCCACAGGAGGTTCTGCGTGCAGGTGGGATGAGAATGAGGGAGTCGGGGGTGCGGCTCAGGTGCACTGTGGGTGACAACTCAGATGTTGTCAGTACTCTCTACCAGTCACCAGGGAGTCTGTGGTGGAAGTACCAATTTAAAATATGTGCTTACAGTGTTTACTTTGATACTTAGTGGAAGAAAAGTGAGACCAAGGGGGTCCATCACAAAGCAGAACTGGAACTGGTATCAGACAAGGCTGTGAGACAGCTTTTAGAATGGAAGGGTCTGTCGATGGTAGTACACATCTGAGGAGAAAAAGCTGAACTGCAGTGATACTATGTCTCCACCAGGGCAGCACACAGCAAAAACTGGGGCACTGGAGAAAGCACCTCCACAATGCCCTGGTAACTGTCAGCAGTTCTGCAAAACCAGTTCTCCACATGGACTTGGGCCTTCCTT